AAGTCAAGTATTTAGAGAGTTAGGATAACACTTCAATAGATAGCAAATAATAAAGCTCAAATGTTTGTGTTGTAAACTCTGATGAATAATGAAATAGTTTGTATCTTTGTATTAAAATTTTCAACATATAATCTCTCTTAACAAATAATACAAGTTAAGTATGAAGAGAGATTTACACTTAAATATAAGTGTTGGCAAAGAAAACTTCTATCAAGAATGAAGAATAGATGAGGTTGGGAAAATTTCTTTGCAAAATGAAATCTTGATGAGATAGATGAAAATTAGTTTAATCAATCAAGAATTTTTTTGTAATAAATGAAATAGAATTTAAAATCAAGTAAGCTCAATGATTTTCAATAAATAAGCTCTCTAAAATCTCTTGTAAGTGATTGAAAATTGAATGCAAAAGAGATTGATATTTGTTGCAAGATTCTGACCGTTGGACTTTCGGTTGATCGAAATTTTCGGTTGACCAATTTTTATTTTTATTTTTAATTGATTTTTCAAAATCTATTTCATATTATGATTCAAAAGCATTTTTATGCAAGTAATGAATTATGAAAATAATTTGAGTTTTATGCACTTGCTAAGAATCGAAGAGTTAATACATTTACATTTAAATTTCGATAAACTACTTCTAAGCTTTAATTTTCAAAGTTCTTGTTTGTGTTCTTTTCGAGTCTCATTTGATTGTTTGTTTTTCAACGGATGACAATTTGACTCTTTGAATGTTTAAGATGATATATTCATTAAAAACTCCATAAATAAAACTTGTTAGAAATAAAAGTGTATTGTTTATTATAATCAAAATAAGTAGAGCTATATTAAATCATAGGTCAACAATAAAACGTGTTTTGAAAATTTTGATTTGATTATAACTGAAAACACTCAAAACGACAAATTTGTCGTTTTGGATTTTCTTTGCAAATTTTTAACTTGTTTCAAAAACGCATTTTTGAAAATAAAAAAGAGAACGCGTTTTCTGTTTTAAAAAATCGAAAACAGAAAATTGCTTGAAAATGATAAAAACAACATACCCTACTTGTCTAAAATTAGATTTGGAATAAAGACTCCCTTTATGAGATGGTCCTCTCTCTTAAAACTTGTCCGATCTTTCAAAGAGATACTAATTAGTATGGACTTTTATAAATTAGTACATAATTAATGGAAGTCTTCGTCAACATTTTAAACATTTTTATAAAGACTTTTTATGGGATTTATTTGACTTTTAGCCCATGTTTGGTTCAGACTAAAATTTGATTTTAATTCAAGTTAAAATCAAACAATCAATATTAATCACATCTTTTATGAATTCCACAATTTTTCAACCGCACATTTCAAAAATTTCTATCACAATATACTAAAAATTTAATTTTAATCCCCATCAAACACACCTTTTTAATGACTTTTGTTTTTAAAATAAAAATTAAAAAAACTACGTTTTCATGTAAATAAAAAAAATAAAAATTAGAAGAGTCCAGAATCTCTATATTGAATACATTTTTTCTTTAAAAATTCTGAAAATGAAACTTTTTAAAATTTCCATACAAGATGACATACGCGCAACAGAAGTTAAAGTTTGGGGATTTGAACGTGACAAGGAAATGAATGATGATCTGCGTGACAAGTGGTAGAGTTTGGGGAGATGGGTGAAAACTTTCTCGAATAAAGGAACAACTTGCTTATAAAGAAATAGAAAAAGGTAGATAATTTCAAAGCAAAGGGCATTGAAAAATAAGCGAAATCATCCGGAAATTTCCAGGAAATAGCCGAAGCTTTGAATCTCAACTGCATTTATAGATTGCATTCCACTCCGAAATTTCAATTTGCGTGAGATTACTAACAAAGAAATAATGGAATCGTTCACTTCGTTCTTCGAATCGCAATCTGCTTCTCGGAACAGTTGGAGTTACGACTCTCTCAAGAATTTCCGTCAGATTTCCCCTACTGTTCAGACCCATCTCAAGCAGGTTTCTTTTATCAGTTTCTCGGATCTATTCTTTTGGATTCTTGGGAAATAATCGATAGTTTGATGTCTAGAATTGAATAATTTCTGTTATTGGAATATTATGGTGTCCTGTTTATTAATTGAATTGATTTCTTAAATCTTTAATTTGGTTTATTTGTAGATATTTGATCTTTTTTCTCGTTCTTCGCATTATCTATGTTTCTTTTGTGATATCTGATCTTTGGTAATTTGAAAATTATGGTCACTGGAAATTTGGGTTTACAATTCAGAGGGGAAGTTATATATTGGATTTCCTGGTTGTAGGTTTATCTGTTGTTATGCTGTGCATTACTTTCATCAGCGGTTGGATCTTATCTTCACTTTGTTTGGAACGTTGGTGGATTCTTCACAACCATTGGATGTATGGGTAGCATCATTTGGCTACTCTCTACTCCTCCTTACCAAGAGGTATTTCTTTTCTTGTTTCCTAGTTTAATTTTCAAATATACAGTATCATTTGGATTTTAATTTTCTCAATTATGAACAGAAAAAAAGGGTTTCACTTCTTATGGCAGCCGCACTCTTTGAAGGGGCATCCATCGGTCCTCTGATCAAATTAGCCGTTGACTTCGACCCTAGGTATGTCCTTTAGCTTGCCTGGTCTTTGAGTTTTGTTATGAATCTGTGGCTATTAGAAGCACTTTCTTGCTTTGCTTTGCTTTGCTAAACATTTGGGTTGCGTTTGCCGCACTGGATTAGGCATTTAGAATTAAAAATATATTAGATAGTAATAGGCCTATGGTATTAGGTGGATAGTATTATTTGATTTTTCATTTTAAAATACCAAAACCCATCTCTACGCTCCGCATTATGTTTTATGATTTATAGTGCAAATCACATTCTTTTGAATGGAAAAATAAAGAATCCATTATGATTTTATACTAAATTTTTTGTACGATGTAATCCGGTGCACTAAATGCAAATTTGTTGTGATTGGCTTCTGTATTTGTATTATAGGTCACCTTGTATGTTGTATTCAGATGCAATTGCCTCATGCTTTTAGTATTTCAATAATCTAAAAGTAATATGCTGACTAGCTTTATAAGAGAACGTTATGCTTTTGTTGTTTTTTGCTTCAGTGGAAAAATTATCCATGAGGCTGTTACTATATATGTGCTCCATTTCATGACATCTTTTTAATTGTGAAAACCGTCTACATAAGTGAGAAACAATTTGGATTCAGTTGTCTTATTGTTCAAATTCATTGTTCAAGGGATTCGATCTAACGTTCTTTTTATGGTATAGAAGGAATGCCTACTTTAGCTTTGAGAATATTTGAGACTTGCTATCCCTTGCATTGACCCTTTATAATGCGAGGTCAGAACCCTGTTTACGCTTGCATGATGCAATTGAAATACAGTTTTATAATAAACCACTTGAAGTTAGTTATTTGGTCGAACTATTTTCCTATCCTTCTTTGGTTAATTTCAGACGATGGCTTATAATCACAATTTATTCCTTTCTGTAGCATTGTTGTTGGTGCTTTTGTTGGTTGCGCTTTGGCTTTTGGTTGTTTCTCAGCAGTGGCCATGGTGGCTAGGCGTAGAGAGTACTTGTACCTCGGGGGCTTACTCTCTTCTGGTCTCTCTATGCTATTCTGGCTGCAATTTGCATCTTCAATTTTCAGTGGCTCTATGGCTCTCTTCAAATTTGAGGTTCTGAATTGTTCCTCTCGTTTAATTCTGCCTGATGTAAGGATAAAATAAGCTCTAACGGTTTCATGACTTCCTCATTCTATTTCAGTTGTATTTTGGACTTTTGGTGTTTGTGGGCTACATTGTGTTCGACACTCAGGATATAATTGAGAAAGCACACTTCGGAGATTTGGACTATGTCAAGCATGCCCTCACACTATTCACAGATTTTGTTGCCGTCTTTGTCCGAATCCTCATTATCATGGTAAGTGGCTTCTTTCTTTGACGACGGAGAACAGAACACATCTCATAACAATAAGGATTTGCTATTTCTCTCTCTCTGTAATATAAACTGACTCGACAATTTATGGTACAGTTGAAGAATGCATCTGACAAGGAAGAGAAGAAGAAGAGGAGGAGAAACTGAGAGTTCCCTTGTGCTGCGAAAATGAAGGCGTCATATTGAATGTACGATGGATTATAATACTTGTTCTTGACCTTCTTCACCTTTGAAATGTTGTTAATGGTTACTTTCAAGTTTACAGTTCTGTGTGTTGACTTGTGCCCATGTGGCTGATGGTACATTTTGTATGTTTTTTCTTTCATGGACATAAGAAGGCTTGCTATGTAAAATAACAATTGGATTACTAACTTACCTTTTATCTACACGATTCGTGGGAGGGAACATAGCTTAGAATCGATATTTGGGGCGGGGAGGACCACTGCCAGCACAAGACTGATTCAATGGAGTTAAATGTAAAAACTCTAATCATATTTCAGGTTACTTGTGACTTTATTTCATTAACTTAAAAGATGTGTGGGGGAGATTAGAGAGAGAACTCGTTTCGAATCATCCCAATGGATACAAAACGTAACGAGTATTGATGAGGAATGCCAATTATGCGTCGGATACTCCGCGAAGGCTATTTTTTGACGTTCTTTGACTATAACGAACTCAATGAAAATTTGGACAATTTTTTTCTTAAATTGTACAAGATCAACTCGAAAAGTTACAAAATTTTCCCAATTCTCTCCTTAAGATCGACTTGGTATGACTTTTGCTTTTACTTTTAATTTTTTGTAAAAAGAACTTTTGGGACTTTTGCTTTTACTTTTAATTTTTTGTAAAAAGAACTTTTGAAAGTAGTTACTTTACTTTTTGTTGGAAATTAATTTTTAAAAGAGTTTCATATTTTAGAAATACTTTTAAAGGAACTTACGTTAAATCAATTTCCTCTAAAAGCTTTTTAAAATAGAATAAACACTTTCGTAAAATTAGTCAAACATGTCTAAAACTAGCTTTTAGGTCTCAAAAAGATTCTTTTGAATTTATAAAAGTCATGTCTAACGAGTCTTTATTTTTAAAAGTGAGGTTCCCACTCTTCAATTTATATCTCAATGAGTAAAAAAATTAACAAAATTAAGCCCCTGTTTGGCCCCCATTATTTGACATTTTTTATAGTTGAAAATTTTTGGAATAGTGATTTATGGGAGAATGTGTGGTGGAAAAGTAATGAAAAATTTTAAATTTGTGTGTAATATTATTTTATTTGATGAATGTGTGGTTGTAATGAAAAGAGAGAAAAATTTAATGTAATTTAATTTTAATTTAATGGGGGCCAAATAGGGACTAAACGACTATTGTAATTTTACAATGAATTAGAAGTGTTAAATGGGATAAATCGAGTCGAGCTACTCTGCTTGCTGCTCGTTCAGCTAGGTTCACGCTTATCTATGGAAAGAGTCGAGCACGAGTCAACTTACTCAACCGAAATGTGATTTAGCTGACGAACCATGTATGAACTATATACTTTTATATTGAAGTTGCCTTTGGAACTCGACGTACAACTCACATGAGAAAAATCAATGTTGGCTCACTCGTGAGTCGTGACTGAGACGGATCAGGTCGAGTCGAGCTGAGCCTACGGGCTACGAAAAACGAATCTCTCCGCTCAACACCCTACATGAATTGTACATATTATTATTTTTTTTATAGGAAATTACACCAAATGTCATTTTGCTATCATGTTTGTACCAAAATGTCACATTTTTTAAGAAGTTGCAAAAATGTCAAAATTGGACATTTTTACCCCTATGCATAAATTAAATACATTCTATGTCTTGCATTGATTAGGATTTGACTACACATGGAAATTGTCCAAGTTGTCCAATCGTGAAAAGAAGGAAAAAAAAGGGGGGGAAATCATTTTTATTTCCAAAATCTTTCTCCTCCAAAACCTTTCACCTCCTCCAACCAAGAGAAAGAGAGAAAAAGGTGAAGACAACTCCACCGGCCAACCTCACCGTGAACCACCCACCACCGGCCACAGCGAGAGAGAGAGAGAGAGAGAGAGAGAGAGAGAGAGTTCGATGAACGCGAAAAAAAGTGGGGAAATCATTTTAATCTCTAAAACCCTTCACCTCCTCTGGCTAGAGAAAGAAAACGGTGAAGACAACCTCCACCGGCCAACATCACCATCAACGACCCACCACCGGCCATAGCGAGAGACAGAACAAGTTCGGTAGAAGCCAAAAATAGAACTCCACCGCCCAAAGAAGGAGAAACGGACCGTGAACTCACTCCTCACTCAATCGACTCGCCGGAAAAGATTGATTGTGTAAGTCAATGCTTCAACATTTTTTCCCTAACGTCCTGAAATTATGTGATA